ATTCGTACTTCAATGGCAAAATGGAGCCTTTACATCATATCCCAGAACTGAATAGAACCCAATTAAAAATTCGATATTTTCTGCAACGAGATACCCGTCTATGCAACGGCGTTCATTTTTGCAGTTTGTCTCGCGGAAACACTTAAAAAGTTCTCATGACTTTGCCAGTTCCCTTGGTTAATGATGTGACTTTCTGTTGCTTTTTGTTCCTGTGGTAATGACCTGGAGGCACCACTATACACATATATTATACAGATGTACATGTACGTATATACCGTGACCACCAAAGTCTTCTAATATGTGATATTTTTCGGTCGCTCTCGTTATATTTCAAATCACTAATCCTTAGTTTTTGCGGTTAATTTATGGAATCGCGTGCTACTGAACTAAAACAGATCGACTTCCCTCTTACTTAAAAAGGAGAATGAATGATGAATGTTATGGAAATCTATTTGAAAGTGGTACTTAGTAGACAATTGGGAATGTCAATCTCATAAACAAACCTCCGTTAGAAGATACGTCTATTTAGCGTTTTATTTAATTCCTTAAAGAGCATGTAGCTCAATTTATAATCGTACAATAAGTCGGTCAACTAACNTTAAAAATTTTCCATATTATTCGTTATTTCTTATTTTATTCAAAGTTGTTGGTCAAATTCCAAATTTTCTCTCAAACCGTATACTTTTTTTTTTACCTCATGATATGCTGCAAAACCTAATTAATCACGAATTTCTAATTTTACGTACTCTTGCCTCCGATTGTACCTCCCAAACATCCTTAACAACTACAATCACTTATATGAAAAAACAGTAAACTCAGCAACGAAACTGAAATTAGAACATACAAAATCAATATACAAGACCGATTACCTGAAAAGTAACAAAACAAAATAATAATAACCACACTAGGAGCCCCAAGGTACATCGGAAACAGGCAATTCCACAGAGAAATGAACATATCTACATTCACAAAATTCCTGAACGAAATATCGGAAAAATTTTCCTAAAAGTTGAACCAACACAAAAAGCCAGAAATAGCTTCCCTTACACAGACATAACCGCTCCACAAAGGAAATATATAACAAAATATCACTCCTGTAAAATAGAAAAACACACGATGAATATGAAAAGGAGCCAGTCTACCACATATAAAAAAGAATGAATGAATGAATGAATGAATATCGGCGGCTCTCTGCTCACCGCTCTGTTCATAGCTCGCGTCTTCCAACAGAAACGAAAAAAGGCAAACGGACCGATTCTATAAAGAACATTTATTTCGTTGTCAGCAATTTTATAAAAGGGGAAGATCAATTTGGGTTTAGAAGAAATAGAGGAACGCTAGAGATCATTCTAACTTTACGGGTAACAATAGAGAAAACGATAGAAAAAGGAAAGAGTGCGTACATAGGATTTGTAGATTTAGAAAAAGCTTTTGACAATGTTAAATGGTAGAATAGACGCGTCTTTTGAAGGTTANGATGAAATTATTGTTCGCAAATAGTTAAGGATGTGGGTTGTTCTAGTTTCAAGGAAATGAGAAGATTAGCTCAGGATAAGAAAGATTGAAGGTGCGTGTCCAACCAATCTTAGGACTAACGATCTTATGATGATGAATTTTATGTTCATCACAATTTCAGTAGCACCGTTTTACGGAATTAACATTAAATTAATTTTTACTTAAGCAAGATTTCGGACGTAATATGCTACTGGTAGGAGCAATCGTTAGGACAGAACTCCTGAAAATGCCAACCATTCGCGTCTGCGAAACGTCTAGAAGAAAAATCTCCAGACAAGGTTCAATAAACCCGAAAGCCAGCAGTATACCAGACCAAGACCGCGAAAACTTCAATCAATTTATCAACATAAATGTAAATATATATCTGTGTATATGAGAACATTGCAGTAGTAGAAGTTTTAATTCGTACTTCAATGGCAAAATGGAGCCTTTACATCATATCCCAGAACTGAATAGAACCCAATTAAAAATTCGATATTTTCTGCAACGAGATACCCGTCTATGCAACGGCGTTCATTTTTGCAGTTTGTCTCGCGGAAACACTTAAAAAGTTCTCATGACTTTGCCAGTTCCCTTGGTTAATGATGTGACTTTCTGTTGCTTTTTGTTCCTGTGGTAATGACCTGGAGGCACCACTATACACATATATTATACAGATGTACATGTACGTATATACCGTGACCACCAAAGTCTTCTAATATGTGATATTTTTCGGTCGCTCTCGTTATATTTCAAATCACTAATCCTTAGTTTTTGCGGTTAATTTATGGAATCGCGTGCTACTGAACTAAAACAGATCGACTTCCCTCTTACTTAAAAAGGAGAATGAATGATGAATGTTATGGAAATCTATTTGAAAGTGGTACTTAGTAGACAATTGGGAATGTCAATCTCATAAACAAACCTCCGTTAGAAGATACGTCTATTTAGCGTTTTATTTAATTCCTTAAAGAGCATGTAGCTCAATTTATAATCGTACAATAAGTCGGTCAACTAACAGGTTCTTCGCAACAAAACCAGAGTCCTAACTCAACTTGAAGTTTTGTCTAATACTTTTTATCCCATAAGCTATTATCTAGACCATGGATCGGCAAACTTTTAGACTGGAAGAGCCATTCGAAATAGAAATATGGTTTCATGAATTTGACAAGAATTTTTAAATCGGCTCTTGAATTTTATTTCAAATTTCTATTGTATAAAGAAGTTGTCTTTAAATAGAAAACGACTTTACTTAGTATTGTTTATATTAGAACTATGTTAAAAAATATGGTATTATGCGAATGGTGACCTTGCATTTCTCTAAAAAGTTTTGGAAACATAACTAGTAGTTTTTAGTTTCAGACTTGACCCTAAATTTTGAATAGTTATTTAGCTTTTTATCTCCTTCTTTGTTATTCCGGAAGGTTATTCCAGGTAGAGAGAATTGGTTTCTCAGGTTTAGACATCACTTTTAGAGCTACGAAATTAAAAGATATTTGGCTTTTCCAGCTCTTCTAAGCTACTATTTAAACTCAAAAATTTCGATCTCCACAAATTTTTTAGTTTAAGACTTGACTCTAATTTTTTAACTTGTTATTTGACTTTTTAGCCTGTTCTTTGTTATTCCGGAAGGTTATTCCAGGTAGAGAGAATTAGTGTCTCAGGTTTAGACATCCCTTTTAGAGCTACGAAATTAAAACATATTTGGCCTTTCCAGCTCTTTAAGCTACTATTTAGACTTAAAAATTTCGATCTCCACAAATCTTTGCCTTTTAAATCTAGTAATTGGATTTGAAATGAACCATCATTGACATTAAATGGAGTAAATTTAGTTGCTTTGAGGAGATTCGCAATGAAAAGTAGACTCATTAATTCTGAACAGATCTGATCATTCAGCAGTCNCCTCCGTTAGAAGATACGTCTATTTAGCGTTTTATTTAATTCCTTAAAACGCGTGTAGCTCAATTTATCATCTTGCCGGTCACCTAACAGGTTCCACTCGTCATATCTTAACAACAAAACCAGAATGCTCAACTCAACTTGAAATTTTGTCTAATACTTTTTATCCCATAAGCTATTATCTAGACCAGGGATAGGCAAACTTTTAAGCTGAAAGAGCTATTCGCAATAAGAATATTGTGTCATGAATCTCAAAGAGCCAAGAATTTCTAATTCGGCTCTTGCATTTTATGTCAAATTTGTATTGGATAAAGAAGTGGTCTTAAAATAGAATACGAGTTTATTCAATATTATTTATATAACTATGTTACAAAATATGGTATTATGCGAATGGTGACCTTGCATTTCTCTAAAGAGTTTTGGAAAGTCCTGCATATAACTAGTATTTTTTAGTTTAAGACTTGACTCTAATTTTTTAACTTGTTATTTGACTTTTTAGCCTGTTCTTTGTTATTCCGGAAGGTTATTCCAGGTAGAGAGAATTAGTGTCTCAGGTTTAGACATCCCTTTTAGAGCTACGAAATTAAAACATATTTGGCCTTTCCAGCTCTTTAAGCTACTATTTAGACTTAAAAATTTCGATCTCCACAAATCTTTGCCTTTTAAATCTAGTAATTGGATTTGAAATGAACCATCATTGACATTAAATGGAGTAAATTTAGTTGCTTTGAGGAGATTCGCAATGAAAAGTAGACTCATTAATTCTGAACAGATCTGATCATTCAGCAGTCATCCTTCATTGTTTTGATCGTTCTTGTGGAGTAACCATCAGTGTCAATAGAAGCACAGCTTCAATCCCGATGATACCTTAAGGTTTAAAAATGTAATGATGTACCACCCAACTCCATTTTTTCTGAAGACAGAACCAATTTATTTTTGACGACCCCGATACCTCAATTTTAAAACATGAGTCCCTCTTGTATTGAAATAATAATAAATTAACTGTGACATAGGTTCATACAGATGATCAGACCACAACAGTTTCATCTTAACCCTTTTTATACCTCATTTACTTTCTCTAGCGATTTACCCCTTCCAAGGTTTTGGATGCGCGCTGACAAAATCGTAAGTAGGGAGAAAAAAGCTCATTATACTCTCGACTCTTGTTCATGAAACATACTTTTTCATACAGTACCTGCCAAAAGTTTTGTTCAATCATGAATAGTAGTGCGAGTCGAAAACAAGCGTTAAAGCCTTTAATATGTCTTCAAATATAAATAAACATCTCGTTGATATTTTCAGTAGTAAATGGTACCAATACCAGCACATTTGAGCAATGCAATTTTAGTGGATAAAATGGTCAATTTTTCCGTGCAGTACTGTACGGATTATACGCTCCTCATCGATTAAGAGTTTGGCCGAGAGTTGACTCCTTTCTTTTCTGGCCTAGTGCTGTTCTTTTCTACTTTCCGCCGGTCAAACTAAGGGTCACATCGCTAGAGAAACTAAACGAAGTATACTATAGCTATAGCAAAACTTCTATGAATGCAGTGACATATATCTGATATAATAATACAAATACCAAAAAGGAATAAAAATGTTCCTACCTGTTTTCTATTCCTCGAAATGATGTTGTCAACCGATAGACTTTGCCCGGGAACTAAATGCGTATCCAAGATTTCTTTCATTCTCTGTCGGTCTTGCATTACATTCTTTAAATTTGCATCATCCCAAGCGGCATTATTTGGAGCGAACAAGGTAACTTCATTACTACGCTCGATGGTTCGAAGAAATTCTTGTCCAGCATCTCCGAGGTCTTGGATGGCCCAGTAAAACTTACTGAGTATGCCATCTTCCTTATCCTACGAAAAAGAACAATAAAAGTTCAAATGCGAAATCGGAAATCTTGCTCCAATCTAGCGGAAAATAAGTAGGTGGAAAAGGTACATAGTAAGTAGAAAATAAAGTCGTCCTTTTGAATATTTAAATCCTTCAATATTTTATCGCATGTATGGTCCAAAAGTTACAATAAATAATATGCGACTGAACGATAAATATAATAATTAATATTCTTATATTATGCTATATAAAAGGGGTGGTTCCCAATGAGTACAGCGGAGGGTTGTCAATGAAACTTTGTAATTAAGGATATATTTAGTTTAAAACCATCTGAGCAAAACTGGAAGAAAGAATGGTCTATCAAAACCGTCAGTACGTCTTGGAATGTCCCACCAGAATACGGACTAACTGAACCTGATGTTTTTACATTTCAGTGGGATTCAAAAATGTTCGTCAATATTCATAAGGATATCGACTTGAGCTGGATCCACGGCGTAGCCACATTTTCGTAGTTGACACATAACCAAATAGAACGAAAAGTTCCTGGTGGACAGTACACGTAAGTCTAACTGACTATTACGTAGAGATACGCCGGTTCGATTTCGGGTCCGTCTGCCTTCGTCCAAGTTTTTTTCTAGTTTCTTTGGATCACTTAGGCAAATGCTGGGCAGTAATATTCCAGAGATAATCTTTAATTCTCTTCTGCCTTCATTTCGTTCGTCTCATCTTTCTCACCCGAACACCACCCGCCCATTCTCACGATTCCAGAAAGAAGGCTGAAGAGGGCCTTCCGCCCTACCTTCCGGCGTAGTCCGGAGGGACTGCCCGCCCACCAGCATTAGTGACAGGTGGGAATGAAACACCCATCAGTTTTTTTAGTATTTTACGTAGAGATGACTACGTTGTGGGCCATTTTTGACAAGTCGATACCCCTGTGACCTTATCGAAATTTATTGATTTGCACTGAAATGTAGCAACTTACTACAGGTGGCGTTCTCTACGTTGTTTGTACGTAATAATCAATCGAAGAGAATGGTTTAAAAATTATTGGACAATTTAACTAACACGTACCTTACTTAATATTCATACGAATTCAACATAACAAAATGTTCTGGGTGGTCAATAGTCTGTTGAAATTGCAATTTAGTTTGGCTGTTTTTACAGAATCCTGAGCTCCAAGAACATTTTGTTTTATTTGGTTACTTGTTCTTCACGTAGTAGTTACGCCATTAGTACAGTTCGACGAGTAGATATCCTTACTAGAAAAGGTCCTTGCTGAACATTATTGAATCCCAAGTTGAAAAATACATCTAAACGCTTTTGTTCTTTTGCACAAAAAATCAATTGATTTTTACTTTCTTTATCTCTTGGTGAAACGTTTTAAATTCGGTTACTAAAATGAAGCACTTGGAACATTTCATATTTTTTTTTTTTAGTTTTTGTTTATTGCACAATTTGCCTGGAACTGAACGGTCAACTAAACACTCTTCAAGTGCGTATAAAGTACAATTAAAGGAAAAAAATATGAATTATTCGAAGTGTTTTAATTTATTAAAAAGAAAAAGAAAAATACATTCGTAATTTGGCAACGTAACCTAATGAGAAAATGGTCAAAATTTAAAAAAATGTTTAATTTAACTTTTATTTCGTTGGTTAACAACAGATTTTTTAAAAATAAGCAAGTCCTTATCTATTTGTAAAATTTTAACGAAACCCCTCTATTCTGCTCGTTGGGTACCACTCCCTTAAATTATTTATTAATATTTTAAATAGAACTGTTACAAGTTAAACAAGTTCTAGCATTAAGTGAATTTTTATGCTTTTGTTTAATTTTGAAAATTATTTAAAAAAGTTACCTTGATGAGGCATGAATGTATTTAATAAAGGAAAGATTTTACGAATTTTATTACTTAAAATATAAAATTTTCGTTTAAAAGAAACCATTATTTATTTAAGATATTTTATTTAATTCACCTTTTCCTGTTT